CTATTGGATTCTGGGGTTATCCCACACGGCGGTGGGTTGGGGAAGCTCGAATAAAGGGTAATTCGGCTCTTGGAGAAGTCCTAAAGGGAAAGAAAACCAAAGAGGAATAAATCGCAAAGAAGCAAAGAATAAGGTTCGGCATGGGGGGAGGGGGGGAAACAGTGTCCCTCACGATGAAGGAAAACGCAAAGCAAGGCAAGCCGCGTGCTCGGATACCAGCTAAAATCCCTCACACCAACACAAACATGTGTATTAGCAGTTCATTTGGAACTCTACCTTTGACGGCATCTAGAGAAATAAAAAGCTGACAGTATTCACCTCTTTCCGATATAATCAAAAGGAAGGAATAACCCTAATAATAATAACAAGAATGCAAGAAATCGTTTATGTTCTCCTATGCAACTCTCGCCCACCACCTTTCTTTTCTTTTTTTCATTATTAATGTGTGAACTTCGTTCTTTGCATCGTCCATGGAAGTCGTGCGGGGACGGCCTGAACCCCTAAACGACCTCTTTTCACGCGGCTCTTCCAGTCCCCCTTATCGCCCCCCGCCATCTCCATTTTTTCCAAGGTGGATGTGGTGAATTCATTTAAACGTCGCTGAATATCCATAAAAAAACCTTTTTGGGGATAAGTCCCATCGAACCCCTCCCCGAGTCTCGGATCCTCTTCCTGAACGCGAAACTCGCGAATCGTGCGCTCGAGAAAGCGCCGATGGTGTCGGATGGAGGGGTTTGTTTGCGAGAGGAGATCATACGCGTGGTGGATTTGTGGAAAGGCGGAAGTCAAAAACCCGCCCTGCTCAATAAGAAATTGCAAAACGCAGTATAATGGCCACGTACTGAGCGGTTCGTCACGATTTTCCGCCGATTCGTTGGGGTCTTTAGTTCCATTGTCGCCCTTGTTATCATTTTGGATGGTCGCTTCCAACTGCTCCATAAGCTCCATAACAAGGACGTGAAGTGGTTGTATTATTTCCATCGCGTTTGTGGAAAGCGCCACCAACACCGCATCAACAGTGTTTAAAATGTGCGAAGCCACGACCGCGGTATCGAAATATGCCGAAATCTCCGTCTGAATCCTTTCCCGAAGCTCCTTTTCTTCTTTTTTCGCCTTTTCGCTCTCCCTCTCTCCTTCGTTTAGTTTCGGAGCCTCCGCGGAGGTCAAAAAAAAACTCAACAGGTGTTCTGGCTGGTAAAAACAACATGCTTTGCGGTCCAGCGAGGATTCACTCTCGCACGCGCGGGATATGTTGATATGCATTATTTGCTGAGAAAGAAGAGGAAATGGCAAGGGATCCTTTGCCGGCGAGGAAATTCCTGTCAGGATTAAAGTATGAGGCTGCTTTAAAGCGCGCAATAGGAGCAAACTATGATGAACCGTGGGATGCCATAACAGATTTGCCGGGCAGCTTACCCTGAACAAGCTCATTTCTACACGTCAACCTTACACAGCATCTATTATGTATAGTGAAAATAGGGAGAGCATACTTGGAACTTTTCTGATTTTAATAGAATCCCCCAAAAGGATTAGTCATATAAGGAATGAAAAAGGTATCGGGATCCGTATCAATGCAGGATACCGGTAAATAGTCTTTTCGAAAGGTCTTTCCTTTCCATTTTCTTTTTTCCCATATCGCCCCATTCTTCCGATTATCGCTCGTATCCCTCCCTCCCCTCCTCGCAAAAAAAAAGAAAAACCCACCAATGCTCAAATCGAACAGAATAAAATGCAATCGCTGGAATCAATCCGAACGCCACCTTTGCTAATTGTTTTTTCAGAACCCCCCTCTCTCACTCGAACCACAAAAATCGATTTCAACCGATAAATACCAAAGCTACGTCGGAAAAGGGAATCGAGTTTGCCAGCGGAGGTTCCGCACCCCCAATCCGGTAATCCGCCGCGCAATTCCCTGCTTGTCCTTCTGCAAAAGCCGCGTTCGCGTGGTCAATCCCTGCGCGCGGCGCTCATTATTCATCGATTTCGCGTCCTCCCTCGCGAGCGGCATTAACGTTCGTGGATTTTTCGTCAAAGGGAGGTATTTATAATATTGAAAAGGTTGCTGCCGCCCCCATGTCCAGGTCGGGTGAATCCATATCTCGCGTTGGTTATGCTCCGTCGGGTGGGCCGGACATCGCACCGTGAGGGTGTCGTGGACCCAACAAAATCGACAATTTTCGCAAAAAAGTTTTAATTTATCGCGAGAAACCATCAACTCCTGCGAGGGGGTTGAACTTTTGAGTTTTCGCATCGAATTGACCGCGCGTCCGTCAAAATTATTCGGCGGGAGGAGAATTTGCCGGTTTTTCGGCCCCGAGGAGTAGCCGAGGGGGAAGAAGTTCCGCCTCACCAGGGAGGCCCCGAACGCGAGGCATCGGGCGCCGGAATACTTCAACATGGCGAACGTTCGCGCGGAATTAACATACGAAAATAGGGTCTAACTTGTATAAATGAATTAATAATTAACAAAAATGATGCAAAAGACCCCTAAAAACAGTTTTCACACGCTATAGTTCATCAACCTCTTCCCTCCTCATAAAAAAAGGCACTATTCGTGCTTCAGCTGAATAGTAGTAAAGTTTGTTATGAGTGTTCATTTTTCATGAAGCTTCCTGTATACAAGTTATGTTAGCATATTCGGTACCTTCAAAAGGATGCCTCGGAAGCTGCGTAAAGAATAGTAAAATTGCAAGCTTGATAGTTAATAATTATAATAATCGCCAAACTCCATCATGTGGATAAATAAATAACTTCAATCCATGATAAATGGAAGCTGTCGAATTTATTCCAACACGATTGATACTTTTTGTTAAGCACTTCAGGGCGAATGAGATATTATCAGAATCATAGTTCCCCCTCTTTTTTTGTATGTTAGGGTTATAGATTACCAATTTGTGAGCTCATGATCCTTTTCTATTTTTTCTTTTAAATTAGTTTTATGTTTTATTATTGATCCTAAAAAGGTTCACATGCTCCGATTCACACTCGTGAACATCTCCAGCGATAATTAACGAATGCAAAGGAGGGCCGAAATCCACCTCCAGGAGCTCCTTCATGCTGCCGGCAACGATTTGTTGGGTGGAGGATCCAACTCGCGCGAGGCCAACGGCAAAACTACTTCCATCCGCCGCAATCGCACCTCCTTTTTTTGTATTTTCCACTTCAAAAACTTGCTCAATGGCTTGTTTAATCGTCATATAACGAGGGGGCTGGTAGATTTTTCGCCCCCGCGCCAAATCCTCATCGGAGACCTCCTTAACTTTGATATCCAACAGTAGTAGTGTGTGAAGACCGCTTTTTCGATTACTTTGTAGTCTTTCATACCACGAATCCGGTCGCCATGTTTCCGTCCAGAAACAAAGCGAAAGCACTTGCCCAAAGCGATATAATTGTAATCCACAACACCCTACCACATTTATAATTGAGGCATTATGCACGACGTTGCATGGAATGCCTTTTTCATGACAGCGAACGACCAGATCAGAATGAGTTGTGGCCCCAAAAACATCCCCGACGACGAGCAAAACCACTTTTTTCGTATCGGCCTCTTCCAAAACCACTCCACTTTCCACGGTTTCGCGATCGGCCAATAAAACCTGACGTCCGTAAAGTTCGCTGAGCTCGCAAATGTTGGTACTAATCAAAAAGGAGGTGTAGGCCTCAAGAAAGACGATGTCCGCCTGTTTAACCGTTTCCAGGCCTTTGAGGGTGATGTCAGAGGCACCGCCAAGGCCCAAACCAACCATGGAAAACATAAGGTGGAGGTGTATGGAACTTTAAATATATAGATATATAAAGGGGAAAAGCGCGAGGTACGGAAGGATAGAAAAATATCAAGAAAAAGAATAGAATAATATGCCTTTTGCACCTCACTAGGTTAATAAGAGTCGAACGCGGATGTCATTTATCTTGGCTCATCAGCTTTTTTTTTGTTATGCTCTCTGCTTCCACATACACAGACCAAGGGAAATGTTATCAAAACAACAACAACAACCAACCAAGCATCTGCATGCCCGTTGCAATTTAGATATTTATACCAATAAATCCCCGGCTTAAACTTTAGGTTTAATACAGTGCATTTCGCTGATGACGTGCTCCATCGGCTCCGGCTTCCCCCGTCGGGATTCGATTTCATGGCAAAAACCTTTATGCTTCTCCCAATCCGCCTTTTGGCAGTCCGCCGAGCAGTAATAGGTGACATCGCAGCCACTGCATTTGAGAAGATTCCGCGCCGTCCGCGGGCATCCTGGGTTCGCGCATCGCATATCCTCCGACCTTCCCACGAAAATATCCCGCGAATGCACGGCGAAATGATATTTCGAGGCCGCCAGGGTCACAAAGCAGGCGTTCGTGTAGCCTTTGAGGGTGTGCAGGACGTGTTTAAAGCCGTTCTCGCTGACCCGGCAAAAGGTATTATCCGCGGTGGTAATCGCGCGGTTCAGCATCGGGACGAGATCCTTGACCCCCTTGATTCGCCGCACCTCATTCTTCACCCAATGCATGGAAAGAATAAACCGGTGAAGGTAGCAGGTGAACTCCTTCACCGCGGTCACCGAATCGCTATGCAGCTCGGAGAGATCTTGAAGATAACTCAAGGCGTGAAAGAGGGCGAGTCGGCAATAAAAAAAGGTCCCATTTTGGATCTGCCGAATGACATCATTCGCGGGGGGGTTTTCCGTGATGTGATCACGATAGCGATAAAGCAACTCCGTGACCACCTCACGCAGTAGGACGTCGTCGTCCTTGACGGCGGCGATCATCGCGCAATCGATGATTTTGATCTTCTCCATGCCGCGAACAAAAAGGGTGTAGGTGTTGCGCAGCTTTCCATAGCACGGACAGCCCTCATAACACGCGAAATTGTCCAAAGGATTCACCTCCGGGTCGAGACTCGGGAGCTTTCCGTTTCGGATGTTCACCGAGAAAAAAAGAACCTTCATCGCGTGCATTAATTTATTCCACGCGACGGGGGAGTCGAGCTCGCGTTGAAGCGTCTGAATCCGATCCGCGGCGACCTGCGCGGCGGCCCAAAAGCTCATCTTGTCCTCCTGATTTTGCGTGCCTTTCACAATCATCTGAATTCGCTGCTCCGCCATGGATAAAAGCCCGTACTTCGCCTTCCGATCGAGAGTTCGAAACTTTGAAATCACGCAAATCGTTTGAAAGATGTGATAGCCGGCCTCAAAGGCGGGAATAAAATTGCTATCTTCCTGCGCACTCGGCGGCGGCCATGCCTGCGGAAGGCCCTTCCCCATGTGAATGATCGCCTCTTCTAAAAAAGGGTCCTCATGCAGCACTGCGTACGTCATCATACACCGCATAACATGCACAAGGACGGAAACGCGATTGAGGGGGGCGACAGTGGAAAGGAAACTATCCCACCACCCAAGGCTCATCGATTTAAAAGGATAAAGAAGAACAGTGGAGGCATTTATCATAGTATTATCATCCCGTTTGGCGGGGATGGCCGCCGAGACACTCGCGCTCATCATCCTTCAAAGGCAAAAAGATCGCGTGAGAAATGAAATGTCTACTTCTACAAGTAACTACAAGAAAGGCCCTTACCGGCCTACTAATTGACTTCCTTTTTTTTGATATATTCTAAAGGTCTCAAACAAGCAAATATAAAAATAAGTGAGAAAGAATGGGAATAATTGCAATCAGGGAAAAAAGGCCTACTCACTCTCAGAAACCTAATTAACATGAGAGTAATTATTCAGTACTAAGCCTGTATTTGCGTATTTCCCATGATCAATACGCTATTCACTATTTACGCTTTAGATGTGTCCTCTATAAAAGGAAAGGAGCGGAGTCTCAAATCGCATTTGAGTACCACATCAACTCATCTGAACGGCCTTTAAGATAGGAATCGAGAAGTACCCGTTCACTCTCCGTCAGCTTATCCCGCACATCACTCAAATCAAATCCCTTTTTGGCGGCGGCGAGGATGACTTTGAGATAGCGAAGTCGGTAGAGTTGAAAGAGCTGCGAGGCGAGACGGGTTCCCTCCGCGCTCATACCCCCATTTGTCGTCGGATTCCCCAACAGCGCGCAAAGCGTCAATCCCGCATCGTAAAAGTACGGCGACTTCGCCGCCAGGTTGGGTGCCAATGGATCCGTTTTGAACTCGCGAAAAGTACTGAGCGAGTATTTACTCCCTATTTGCACTGAAATAAAGCCCGCCTGGCGAAGTGGGTAGGCCGCCCATAACGGGAGTACGGTGGTATTGCCGGCATTTACTTCCGTACACCGTTCGCCCTCCGCATTTCGCACGATCACATCATTCTGAAGCATAAATGAGGAAACGTGAAAGGTTACGGGCACCAATTCCTCATGGGTGCTTATCAATCCGATATCAAAATAACTGTTGATCATTTGGATTTGTAAATCTCAGAGGCAAAGCATCCAGCATATATCTATCGATCTAACTATATATATTCTATTGACAAATGAGATGTTTACCCCTCTCCCTAATAATATTTTCCACACTCCTAAAAATGTAAAGTAAACCATTTTAAAAGATCAGCAGCATTTAAATCATTTCTATTCCCGGATAATAATAATAATAGCACAATTCATTCAACATTTGATATTCCTCTGTGCTTGCCATTTCGTAAGGAGAGGGGAGAGGGAGTTCATTAGCCAACTGGCGCAAGATTTCTAATAATTTAGCGATGTCCCGATAAATAAACATACTAAATACATGAGCACCATATAACACGTTGAATCATTATTGTAATCATACAAAGATAGATAAACAGATAGTCATACGTTTATGTGTGCATACAAGAAGTAAAAATACAAAATTAAATGATTGACATGACAAATGTTGATTTGAAAATTTTGTATACATAGTTAACACTACATTTTTGAAACCCAAAGCAAAATAAAGGAATCATTAGCGTTCAAATCTAAAGAAGAATGGCGAAGAAAAAGGAAATATATTGACGTAGACGTTCAGAACTAAGAATATTTACACTAAAAGAGTTTTCAGCTTCGCGATGTGATGTAATTTCGATTTTCTTGCGTCAACTCATGTCGTGCAATAATACGGCGGAGGATATCCATATTTGTTTGGTGAAGAGGCTTCGACACAATTCCGCGAATATCATTCAGTAGTTCATTCAGTTGCTTTTCTGTGGCCTCCGTCTGGCGCCGACGCCGCTCCTCATCCTTGATCTTCTGCACGTATTCCTTTTGTGTGCCTGAGTCTCGAATCGAACGGAGCTGTTCAATATCGCTCTCGACCAAGACTCGCGCGTTGTGCTCCTCGAGCACCAGGGTCTCCAAATCCTCCAGCTTCTGCGGTGAGACGCCGCTGAGGTCTCGTGTGTTGTCGTTCTTGCCGGCGAGCCGTGCGAGGCGGGATGATTTAAAGGCTAGATTGCCGAAGGTATCGCACTTCCCATGCGCGGCAGTGTTTGAAGCGTGGACGGTGTGTGGCCCGGGCTTCCACCCGTACCCGTCCCCGCAGGCTGATTGCCGCTGCGCCGAGCGTAATCGCCAGCTGCCGGGGTGGGCGCGCGCACGCGGGATGCAGGGGCAGCCCCCGACCGTCGCGTAAAAGTTATTCGTCCGCGGGATCGCGAGGAGTTTGTAATCAGGCAAGCTGAGCTTTTGTCGATGGGAGGCACAGCCATGCCCGTGCCGCGACATCGGCAAGGATAAAGGCGGGAGAGAGGCGTTCGCGGCTTTTTTGCCGCCATGGGTGGAGTTCATTGCAAGAATATTGCACAGAATACTTTATGTTACAGTGTTCTATATTACACAATGTTCAGTTACACAGTGTCCTATGTTACACAATGTTCAGTTACACAATGTCTAGTTACACAGTGTCCTATGTTAGACAGCTTTAAGCACACGAGAAGAAGAAAGAAGAAATCAAAGGAGATGGGCTGTGTTGTTACACGAAAACCTTCTCTCTTATTCCCCTTTTTCTCAAAGGAGAATGGGCTATCAACATTTCAAAGGTAGAATTGGTGTGTGTGTAGATTACACGCTAGATGCTTGCTTGATTTTGAATCCATACAATAGTAAATTTTCGCATCACGGACATTTTCTTGATCTTTTTCTTTTTTTTTAATAACCCAAATATACCCAATATGCTGCAATAAAACATCAATCCAAGAAAATATATATTTTACATCGTAAATACCAGCCATTATCTCGAGTAATGGTAATTTTTCTGGCCAAAATTATAGTCACAATGTGAATGAGATGCATTCACAACGGGTGGGACTCTACATTTAGCAACTGGGATTCTGCGTATCTGTCCTCCTCTGCTGACGAAGTGTATTGATGCGGTTCTCCTCTTCTAAAAGGAAATGCATTCGAATGATGTTTTTCTTCGAGTTGACAGGTTGCTTAGAGACGTACTTTAGCTCCTCCATTACTTCTTCGTATTGCTCCCCGATAGTGGGCACCTCGTTTATATCGCGTTCCATGATGCCCTTCCGAGGTCGACGCCCTAAAAGGGAGCCTTCACCCTTGGTGCGTTCGTATTCCACGACATGGTTAGACCCCATGATCCCGATCTCCATCTCAAGCGCGTCGCGTTGCCCTTCCGCGTCCATACGCGCCAGCATTTCGTCGTGGAGGACCGCTTTTAAAAAATTCTTTCGATCCAGCATTAATCGCTTTCGCACCTCCGCACGTTTCTTTCCTTTGGTCGAGTTCAGAGGCAGAGCGGTGGTTGTGAGATTCATTCTCCCGCGCTCCTCGACCGTACCACCGTAGTTTCGGTGGTTTGGAAAGCCCGCCACACGTGGGTTGGTATCCTCCGCGTGTACTGCATGAGGGCCATCGGCCTCGCGATAAGCGACGTGGGAGTCCTTCGCCTTGTCCTTCGACTCCTGCAGAAGAGAAGGGCAGGGGCAGGTGCCCGACTTCGCGTAGTACCCATCCAAAGTGCGGGGAATACTAATATCCTTTTTGTAATCCGGCAGCACCATGGTGTGGCAGTAGCTCTCACATTCGTGATATTTCGCGTCACGCTTTACCGGGATGGGTTGCTTCGCTTTGGTGTTTGTCTGCATTGGTGAACTCTCTTTTGTGATGTTCCTCGAAAGACTGGCTGAATGTGATTAAATAGTGTCGACACTAAGAAGGATTCTACAATGTGTGATAAAAAAAGAACAGGAAAATGCACCGCGAGGTGTTTGAACTTTTTTTTTCATATCCACACAAGTATTCTGTGTCACAGATGTTTTCTTTAATTTTCAGGCCTATAATATACAATATATATATATATATCTTATTCGTTTAAAGGGTACTTTAGCAGAACCATTTTAGATTTTGAGCAGAAGAACAATTCCCGCAGGAGCAGCAATGGGCTCCACAAAATCTCCTGGGAAGAAATGCTTGTACGGTGTAGCGAGGAATCAGAGACAGTTTTAGGATAAACCAATCATATTGACACTTTATAGTTGATGTACTACAGTACAGCGCGAGACAAAACGTCCGGTACTTGATCACAAGGATGTCATCAAGCAGGTCGTAATTATCAGATGACCATGAGGAAATGAAGCTTCTTGTGGAAGGCTATAAGAGGAAGAATATTGTATATGTGGACGTGACTAGTGGAAACTATGAACGGTGAATAATAATAAAAGCAAGAAGCCATTAATGGGTCGGACGGGAAGAGGATGCTCAAATACACCCTTTTTCGCTATATTCATATTCGGGAGTGTTTTTATATTCATTGCCTATAAAAAAATCCAAAAACTTTCATATTTTTTCCTAAATTTATTGCATCATTTTTTCGTCACTTTTTAATTTTTAATTCCCATGATTCATGGGCTTTGGGATTAACGAGATACTTAACTCAAGTTATTGAATTGCGATGTGGAACACATTAGATTCTGGAAAATTGAGTCAGGCTTCCCGGTATCCAATAATAATATGTTATAAATAATAATGATATATATAAAAACAATATATATAATGAAAAAATTCCGCATAAATATTATAATCATAACGAAAATATTAATAGTGGCCTCGAATACTTTTCAACGAGCCGTGAAGCAAATTTTTATATCAATATCATATAGGGATCTTATTCGAGTAAAAACGCCGCATAAGCTTGTAGACGAGATTTCTTCCTTTTCTTGCCACTATTTATGCTTACTTTTGGCAGAAGTACTCCAAGGCGCCCTCTGCGTTGGGCTTCATTGCCTTATCTCCGGGCCTCCAGTTCACTGGGCAAACTTCGCCATGCTTCTCCACGAACTGGAAGGCCTTGATAAGGCGAATCACCTCGTCCACATTGCGGCCGACGGGATTATCGTTCACAGAGAACTGGCGGAGGTTGCCACTGGGGTCAATAATAAATACGCCGCGGTAGGAGATGCCGGCGCTTTCAATGAGCACGCCATAGTCCTTCATAATGGACTTTGTTTTGTCGGCGAGGATGGGGAAGTTGACGGCGCCGAGCCCGCCCTTCTTGCGGTCGATGCCCGTCCACGCCTTGTGGGAGAACTCGCTGTCCATACTGCACGCGATCACCTCACAGTTGATCTCCTTAAAGCATTTGAAGGAGTCCGAGAACTGACAGATCTCGGTGGGGCACACAAAAGTGAAGTCCAGGGGGTAGAAGAAAAGCACCACCCACTTGCCTTTGTAGGAGCTCAGCTTAACTTTGTGGAAGCTGCCGTCTGGCATTAATGCCATCTCGTCGAATTGCGGCGCGGGGTGGTTCAACTTTGCGTTTCCAATCGACATTTTAATGTTGGATGGATGTAATGATAGGCTTGGTTAGTAATTAGAGTGTTTGGCTTCACAACTTATGTGTATGTGGAAGGGGAAAAAATGGGACGAACGAAGAGGATGACGTCATGCAGGATTTTAGATTCATTAATAAGTAGGGGAAGGGATTTCTTTTGTTCATGTTTACGGATTATATATGTATAATATTATTTTCACACCATATATGTGGGTGAAAATGCATGCTGAACCTAAAGTATATGTATACATTCATGTTTCAATAAAAAGTCCGGCACAAACAGTACTTTCCGACACATATAGTTCAAGCCTTTTGTATGTTGACGGGCCCATTCGGCTCCATTTCCCCTCCTTAAGTTCAACAAACCACCACTACAGCGCCTTGTCCTTCTCAGAGCATTCAAGATTCTCGTCATCGGTGGGATTGCAGGACTGCGGTAGCAAGATGGTTATTTCCTCACTTCAACTCTCGTGTTTTAAATAACTATGCACTGTAGAAAGGTGAACGATTAGGAAGAACCCTGAGAAAGCCTGAACGAGAGCCTCGATGTGATGCTAGACTGGAAACCAATCATTTTGAAAAGTTGTATTTGGATATAGGCACTTGTAAACATCAATCAACCTCCTCTATTTTTAAGGTGTTTTATCCCCCCCAAAGATACTCCAAGTTTATTTTTTTAGCCACAAGACAGCCGTTGAGGTCAGTTGTAAAGGGAGGGCAGAGACAGGTTTGACAGTAAGGAGATAAATTACCGCATAACTATCATTTTCATCCACATTGGTAATGCAATTCCGTCCAAGATGTTTAATTTCAGTTGTGTTGGTTTGCGTGAGACGTCTCCTTTCTACATGAATCAACATGCAATGAAAATAAAGCTTTTTGAGGAAGGTGAGTCCCTCGTATAAAACGGAAAGCTCAAAAATGTCCAGCGAGATACCCGTTCAACGATTCGAGGTGACCCTATTAATGTACCCTGTATGGCAAGGTACTAATAATATCCTTGTCGATCCACGTGTTGTCGAGCCGCCATCATGGCGTTCGGATTGAAGAGCCGAAGCCACGTCAGCGAGCGCGTTTGCGGCCCACGCGACGAATAACAGAGCTGCCAACCGTAAATCCAGCCAAAAATCGCCCCCAAACGCAGATATTCCGTCAATCCGTACGCGATAAAAAAAAGCTCCTCATTAGAACTATTCGCCGTCATCGTGGCGGCATCTCGACAGGCAAGCGGAAAGGACTGGAGGGTTCGGGTACTCCACGTCGCGCGGCCCCACACCGTCAGACGCTGCGAGAGCCCCGGAAGGGTATTGTTGTGGTTTAAAAAGATCAAATAAACATCGCAGGGACATAAGGCCACGACTTTATCCGCCATTTCGCCCACCCCCATCGCCTGCGAAGGCGATGGCTCACGGCGCCTTTGGTAGATAAAAATCCGCGCCGGGAGGGCGAGGGGGGATGGGGCGGCGTCCTGAGGACGGGGCGGGAAATACGGAATGCGAAAAAGCCTCGCGACCTCGGCCTCAGGAAGCTCCTCGAGCCCCCCCCACGCCGGCAAAAAAAAGGAGCTGATCACCGGCGGCGCCCTGTCCGCTTTGGGAGGAGGACCCTCCTTTTCCCCTTCAGAGGGCGGGGAGAGGCGGCGTTGCGGCCTCGCCGAGGATAGCGTCGTCAGCGGAAGGAAAGGCAGTTGGGCGTATTGGTGAAAGGAAGTCCGGCCGTCGCGAACCTGCAGGCCTGCCAAGTATGCCGCGTATTCAAAGCGCTCGTCTGGGCGCAAAAGCGATAGGAAGGTGGAAAAAATAGACTGCGCATTCACCAGATCGATGGTCGCCGGCTGCTTTGAAACGTGATCGACCTCATGGGATGATTGTTTACGTTTGGGATTCCTCGATAAGCGAGAAACGGCCCCTACCGTTTTCTCGGTTGAACAGAAGAAACAATACTCATTTACAGGAGATGGGGCGCACTTCTTTGCCGGTGGTTTGCCGTGCGGTGGCCTTTCATCCTTTTTCATAAATTGTGCACAAGACAGGGTTGGACTTTTCGTTCCTTGAAGAGGTTCGAACGCGTTCTCCGCGTTATCGGCGACATCCTCCATGATGAGGCCCCAGTGCACCATCCAGCCAAGACTGAGGAGGCTGTGGGAGGCCTCATGGTGAATGCTGTAAAGTGAAGGAGCTTCGGATGAACTACAGAGAGATGTGCCGCCATTGCTGATCAGGGTGGGATGCGCATTCGAAGAATACATTTCTTCTTTTGTTTCCAAGCACTACGGATAAGTATACCCTCCCCCCCTCCTCCCCCCCCAAATGAAATTAGAATGAGGTAAATAAAGTAAGATGAAAGATAAGTATGATAGAAAAATGATCATCCCATACGCAATTGGACGTTGTGGTACATAATCCTTGTACGGATGAAATTTTAGGATATCTCCCTCCTCAACATATTATTATGCATGTTTAATATTCATGACGCAACTCCTCAACGCTTACATGAATTATTTTTGAGTAATACAGCAGTTTTTCCTTTTAAATTGTTTTCGGTGATCGCTTTCACACTTCCACACCAATGATCCTGACAGCACTTTCTTCGATGGAGAGTCGTTAAGACTCGCGAAAATTATAAATCCTCACTGCTATCACTGGTAGTTTCCTCCGCATCTAACTCCTCCGCATAGATCACCACCACATCACTGATGTTGTCCTCATCGCGGGTCTGCTCGCTCGACCTCTTCAGCGCCTTTTCGCACGGCCCATGATGGGTTTCTACCAAAGGCAGATTTGACGATCCGGCGTGGGAAGGGGCGAGAGCCCCCAACAAGTTTAGCAACGCCTTCGATTCTTCCACACTGCGACGTTGAAGCTCGAGTTCGGTGTCCTCGCCGGGTAGAAGAAGGCCCGATTGGCGTCCCGTCAAGGAGGGCTTTTCTTCGAAAACGCCGGCCACGACGCTCAGCTCCACTACACGCTCCTCCCCCTCATCACGATCACGCCCTTTCGCGGCGAGGTCCTCATTTAGTCCTGTCTCCATCCTCACAGGAGGGGAAAGAGCCGCGGAGGTCAAAAAAGTTTCGATCTCCCTCACTTTGTGGTGAAGCGAGGACGTGTTGACCTCTTCTGTGGATGGTTTGCCCCGCAGTAGACTCGCCACTCGGCAAGCCGCACTCTCGCTGAGCGAGGTAGTACAGAATGCAGGCATCAGACACTGACGTAAGGCACAAAACTACACATATAAGAACTATATATATATATATATATACGAAAAAGAGGAGGGAGTTAAGGAAACCAAAGAAAGTAGGACAAATGAAAAAAATTGATTCCGCATCGCACCCGACGTGAACGGTAGTAAAAAAAATCGGGATTTCAGAAAAGATTTTTTTTTGTTATCGGACAAGTATAATAAAGAAACGATAAAAACCTATTACTCAACCCACTCCCTTTCACAGAGAATTGGGAATCTTATTCAGAGGAGTTCAAAGATGACCAAAAAGGTAAACAATCCTCCTCTTTTTTTTTTTACTACTTCACGGCATGCATGTTGGTTCGATATCGCCTTGATTGACTACCTCTTGTGTTGAGCGACCTTCGTAGAAGAGCACCGACCGCATGGGATCCTCATGCGCCCGCAGACAATCCGGTGGGCGGTGCGCCACTACGATTTCCGGCCGGCGTGGATGCCGCTCATGCCGTTTGATTTCCACGATGATGGTGTTCATGAGTACCCCGGAAAGATGTCCACAACATTGCAAGCATCGGAGGTCGATATAGACCTCGCCGCAGCGCGTGCATCTGATCGGGCAGAACGGTATGCGTTGGCATACCCCCGTCGCCGTGGACCCGCTTTCGTTAGCGTCGCCGCTGATGTCCTTTTCCTTAGCCTCCACACCATTACGCGTATCGGCGAGGGTGGGGTTCGCTTCCCTGGGCCGCCCATGGCCGCAGTGCATGCAGTACCTCTCAAACTCCATGTTCGCGCGCCGACACCGCGTGCATTCCCAACACTCCGCAGGAAAGAGCTCCCGCACACAAGGACGCAGAGCAAGGCATTGCGTGCAAAGATAGCGCCCAAGGCCTTTGTTAACCCCGACCTCACCACACATCTCACACACCCATTGTTTGGGGTGAAAAAAGCAAAGCTCGCGCGGGTGGCTGCCCAAACATTCCGGGCAGATCTCCTTCGGGCTGAAGTAGGTCGTCTCCGACACCCCACATCGGCGGTCCATAAAGGTCAGGAATTGCTTGAGCAGGGCGGCCGCGCGGCGGGTGAGGTCGAGTTGGGGGTAAAAGGGTTCTAAAAATTGAAGAAGCGCCTGCAGATCCGCCGTGAGCCCGGGGCGGACTGTGTGGAGGGCGTCGTCGTGAAGTCCCAGCGCGGGGGATTGGCACCAATCCTCCACGACAGCCTCCAGTGTCGAGACGGCGCGCCGTAGTTTGGCCGCCGCGAGGGGGCCGCCGTTGGTTTCCGGCTTCTCCGTCATGGGGGCGGTCGTCGCCGTCGTCAAAACTTTTTTCAGGACGGCAAAGGTCTGCAGTGCGCACGCGGCGTCGTTCTCGTTTCGATCCGCGGCCTGGAGGACGACATAGCCCCCACAAGAAGGGCAAACCGCACTGTGGAGGTCCACCGGCATGCGAAAATGGCAAAACCCACAGAGCCGCCGCGACGTGCAGGCCCCTTCCTCGCCCGGGGGATTCC